GGGGGAGACAGGGGGTGGAGAAATCCAATAAATAAATAAATAAATCCCTCAAAGATGTGTTACCACTTCCCAAATCTACTTGCTCACATCTCACCTCTCTTCCTGAAGGAATAAAGTGGGTCATGGATTAAGCCTGCAGGTAGTAGAGTTCCAACCATAAAGAACGTGACACAAATCATCACCTCAATGATCACAGTGGAATCTGCTCAAACAACATCCAAACCAGAACAGATATGAGCAACTTTATCCACAAGAACACCCACAAAATCATCCTGATGGCCTGCAGGCATTTTGTCCCACTCATCCTTTCCTAGATGGGTAATCCAAATAGTGACATTAGGCAGAAATATGCAGATGCAATAAATGCAGAGAAGAATTAGCCATTTGCCACTCTTATCATCACCATATAAACTTGACTTTGAGCTCTCATCTACGTTTAGTTTTCCACTACCATCTCTCTAGGGATGTTTTCAGACTGGACTGGCAACTGGGCATAGGCCCTGCAGGAACAATCTCATCTAACACTCTGCCCATTTCCAAGTTCCAGAGGTTAACCAGGTGTGAGACACAACTGTCCACCAAATTTTTGGGAAAGTTCCCAACAGTCCTGTGAAAACCTTCTGATTCCATTAGGTACCTAGGGTAGACCATCTTAATTGGTTCTCTATGTTTGTGGAGGCCTGGGGCATTCATGATCAGCAGACTGACCAGAAATGATATGAGTATGGTGAAAACAGATGTAAGTGTCCTTCATCTTAAGATCTTGTTTCATCTATAAGGAGCAGAGCTTTGATTGCACAGAAAGATGGTTTATTCTCAATCTTGTTTCCTGTTAAGAAACCAGGACTGGAGAAGGCTGAGGGCTTCTACGGCTAAATAAGTTGTGAAGCTGTAAAATATTTCTCTGGACTGCTACTTAAAGGGCAATAAATAAGAAAAAAAAATAATGTAGTACTGTTCTCACTGTGTTTTGTTATGATCTAAGAGCCTATAATTACATGACCTTTTCTGCAATTAAACTGAAGGTTTTTAAAAAACATACTCTAGCAGGTTAGATCAGAATTTGAAAGCTCTGACAAATTGTGACCTTGGCCTTTCAGTTCATGATGATGAAACAGCCTTCAAAACTATTGCTGACTACTATCATTATAGAAACAATTCTGGGGTCATAAGTCCCACTGAAGTTAGCATTATTTCTGAAGAAACACGTCTAATTTGCAGCCATGCCAATTATGCTTTATTCAGACACTTTGAAATCTGGTTACAAATATGCTTTTAATTATTAACAGTGCAATCCTAATAATTCAAAACTATACATAACTTCTGAATTTGATGATATTTATTCCCCCAAATATGAGTATAGGATGGCAGGCTAACTTTGTTTCTTACAAGTATCTTATCATAAAACAATGCTTATTTTCATTTGCAGTTAAACTTCAAGGACTGTGAGAAAGTTGTTAGGAAGCATAACATAACTGGACAAAGATTTCTGGTAAGTTTTTTAATGAATCAATACTTTCATAGACTCATAGAATGTAGAATTGGAAGGGAACACAATTAAATTTGTTATTTAATCCAATCTCTGGAATGTTCAGGAAAACCATTTAAACCTTATTACAAATTTCAGAAAAATATTTCAAAAGATCTCATTTCCTTTGGATATGCAAATTAATCAGTCAATCATTATTGATGGACAATAAATAAGCTAATAAAAACGAAGAGGTATTGGTAAATCATTAGGGAAGAAAATTAAAGGATGAGGAAAGAGCATGTGGTCAATCAAGCAGTACAACTTACATTTAAGCAAATATCACTCTCATGTGACCATTGCAATTCTAGTTTTATTTTATGATAGGCAACACCAGTAACCAAAACTATGGCACAGCCTAATTATAGCATGCTGCGTTTTTGTTTCAGAGCATGTCTGAAAATGATATTCAGAAGTTTCCAAAGCTAAAAGTTCCGTAAGTAAATCATATCCATTTTAAAATCTGATTCTGTCATCAGTAAGTTGGTGCTAAATATGTGAAAAAGAAAATATACTCCTTGAACACAAGTTCTGCTCATGCTCACTAGATGCTTTATTTCCCCCAGGTTGTCATGCCCTGGATCAGACAAAATTGATTTCCTTTAGGTGAACCAGCGAAGGTGTAGAGATGAGGGCAGAGACCTATTTCTGAAAGATACAGCCAGTGTTGGCCCAAATAGGAAATACTACTGGAACCTACTTGTAGATAGCCAAGTACAGCCTCTTCTAATTTAAAGAACTTGGGTACAATCTAAACTGAGTCGTATTCAGATCTCAGTGAAATCAGCAAGATCAAGTCATGACTAAGTTTCTGTACGAAATACTGTGGGACCTTAAAGCCATTGACTTAGATGGCATCGATGCCATTATAATTTTTTAACATTTATTTTAGTGTTAAATGTTAAAGGAAAAAGAAACAATGATAAGATGCAAGAACAACTTCTTAGCAAAATATAGTGTCCTTTCCCCTTCCTTTCACAAAGCTGGGCACAAAGCTCCAATTTCAGTTGTATCACAAGAAATGTCAGGAACATCCAAAAGATTTCACAATACGTTTTTTACTTTTCACATCAGGGAAGGATAGAAATGTATGGAGAGCCATGAATTGTGTCACTATAAACTAGATTTAGCTATGTTTCCTTTTCGTAACTAATTCCTTTAATACGTTTCGGTTACTATTTCTTTTTTTCTGTACTATGTTTAATGCTGCTGATTACCCCAAAAAGGAACAGCATGTTGGGTTTGTAAATATGCATGTCTAAAGCATAATTGTTATCAAGCAAAGCAACATTCATTCCTGTCTTCTGTTGTAGGCAGCCAGTATGAATATATAAATTACATTATCCATTGATATTTTGACTCATAGGCTTAAGGTGTTGTTGTTTTTTAATCCAAGTCATTCAGCCACTCTTATTGTCCCCAATGAATTGCTTCAGAACTGCTGTGACTGTAGTGCTGCTACATGCAATTTATTTTACCTATATTATTGTTATGGGATCTTGCAAATTCACTCAACAATTTATTGAAGATGTTCCAATACATTTTGGGAGTGTAAATAGTATTCTGGTACAAATGCAACTCTCTGGTGGTATAATCCCAGTTTCTGAAATATGTAATAACAGCTTCTGGCTGCTCCACAAATATCCCAGATCTGTTCAGGCACCATGGGCAGAACCCTTCTGGCTGGGAATTCTGAGACTTGTAGTATCAATATGTATCAAGAACACCAGGATGTGGAGTGCTGTAGAACAAGAATGGTTGCTTGATCTTTTGTGCAATATTTTGATACGGTTTTTCCCTTCAGTAGCATGTGCTTTCCTGTATCAGCTTTACCATCTGAATTAGCTTCAAGATCACATGTTTTGCCACACGCAAAATTACCTTCCCTTATTACCACCCACATGATAGTTCTTGTTTTTTCCCATTTATAGTTCTTTTGTTCTTTTGTCAACCACCATGACAAAGGCAACGTTAACACTAGGAGGAAGAATGGTGGTCCTGTAATTGAGAAAGAATTACTGTTTTTCTTTGGCCTCACTCAGCAGTCATTCAGACTGACCAATCAGAGGCTCAGATTGATTTTGTTTTAGATAATCAAAAAGGCTCTGGGAGAGCTTTGCTGGTGTTGCTCATAGCAGAACAACACAGAACCTGAGGGTCAGAATTGTGCTACCAAGGTTTTGGGGGATTTGATTAACATTACATCGTATAATAAAGACAGGAGACCTGTAAAAAGCCTGTTCATTGCATGAGGTTGGAAGCCCTGTACAGGCATGGCATGGCATGGCATGGCATGGCATGGCATGGCATAAATCATGTGAACTCATGTTCTATATTATTATAATGTGGTCACTGTGTGTTCTGTGATTGTGTTCTGCTTTTTTCCAGCAGATTGCCAAATGTAGAAAATACACTGCTTTGTTGTGTTTGCAGACAGATTGACAAATGTAAAAGAGTGCATTGTGTATGGCATTACAGATACAGCTGTTGCTCATTCAGGTTGCTAAATATATCTATAAAAATGTTGCTTTATTTGTTTCAGCAAAAAAGAAAAAAGAAAAAAAAGCCTCAAACAAATCATCAGAGTTGTGTATTTTTGCTATTCATGGGATCTGTTGAAATGAATCTGTTGCTATTGACATCTCTGCTAGATTCAGTTCTGTTGCTTTTTCTGCAAGAAGACATTTCAGAAACCATCTTTAATGGCTGCTTTCACTGTTTGCTATGAGATTTTCAAAAATGTTTTTGTTTGATGTTATTAGACCCTTGGCCATTTGTGTGTGTGTGTGTGTTGGCTAATACACAGCAGTTACTTATGACCTATTGCTCTATCAATTTTAAATTCCCAGTGACAGAGCTCTCAAAATGTTTTTACATTTTATTCTGTTGGAGCACAGAGCATTCAAAATATTGTCATATTTCACTTTATGTGCATTACTATACATCTGTCTACCCGTCCATCCACTTAAATATTTGTCAAGACCAATGAGTATAAGTCACCCATATAACACAAGAAAACTAGACAAAGATAAAAAGCAATGGATGTCAGTCATATACAATTCCAATCAAACATTATGGACCTGATTTATAATACTCTTTCATTCACATCTTATATATACACTGGCTGAGTTAATCCGTTGTATTAAGCCCATAATATGGTTTGTTTGGTTTTGATGTTTTATAATCCTTGTAATTTATCAGGTGTAACTTGTGACACAGAGCTCAGAACTCAGCTTTTGTGGCTTATTTAACAGACCGTGGTTTAAACAAAACATGATTTAGTGCTACATGTGGAGCCAGCATCCTTCCTTCCCTTTCTCACACATATACATGCACACATATCTGTCAGGAGACTTATGCTATACTGATTATGTGCCATTAAGTCAGTGTTGACTCTTAGTCACCCCACAGATGGATTTTCTCTGGGACATCAGATCATCCAATAGATTCAACCATCCATCACCAGGGAAATGGAGTCAATCCACCTTGCTGCTAGACATGCTTTTTCTTTTTCATTCCATCCTTCTTAGCATTATAGACTTCTCCAGAGAGCTAGGTCTTTGCAGAATGTGTCCAACATATGATAATTTGAGTCTGGTCATTTTGGGTGTCAGATGAGAACTCTGGATTGATTTGTGCTATGATCTATTTGCTTGGTTTCTTGGCTATCCATGGTATTCTCAGGAGTCTTCTCCAATACCAAAGTTAGAAAGAATCAGTACTCTTTCTATTTTGTTTCTTCAAACTCCAATTTTCACTTCCATAGAGTTTCACAGGGAAAATCACTGCTTGCATGATTCTGATCTTTGTAGGTATAAACACATCCCATATCTTTTCCAAGACCTTCATCCTGATTCTACCAAATGCTTATCTGCATATTTTTTGACTGCTGGTTCCTTTAGTTTTAGTTGATTCTAAAAGCAGACAGTATTCACCATTTCCTTATCTTGATTATCAATTCTAAGGCTGGTTCCTGCACATACAAACAGATTAGAAACCATTCTCTATTTCAATCAGAATGGCAGAAACTAAAAATTGATTTAAGTTAAAAAAAAATCCAATTTGCTATAAGGAAACTACTCAAAACTGGAAAGTTCATACTTGAAAAGTAGTGGTGGCTAGTGCCCAATAACACAAGAAGTCTTGGAGTTAAAAAGTAAGGTCTTCATTTAGTTGAGCTTAACTCCTCTCGACTTCATAGACACATCTTTGTAGTTTTCTTGCAGCAATAGAGAATTGGTTTGCCATTTCCTTCTGGGATCTTTTTCAACTTCATAGTCTTTCCTCCAGTTCTGGAGTTCTCTAATGGTCTCCTATTCAAGTATTAATCACTGTTCCTACTTAGCTCCCAAGCCCAATTGAGCATATTGATATTCACTTAGGACCTGAAGGTTTCTCTACTGAGAATCTCTATTGAATGGCTGGATGGTTGGCTGATTTTTCTCTCAGCTTCTCTTAGGGAAGGAAGTCCAGAGCCAGACTATCCAGAGGACAGGAAAATAAATAAATAACTGCAGGGTCTGGAGGCATGGAGAACTAGGAACTGAGTAGCTACTAATCTGAGGTAGAATCTGAAACTTCTGTGCCCTAAGGAAGGCCCTTCCCCTTACAGCAGTGCTGAAGGTGATATCATAGTTAGGGTGTGAACATTTAAACTTTTTTCCTTATCCCCACCCCTTTTCCCCATACCAAAATCTGGATACAAGCAAAAAGAAAGGAACTAGGGAATAGAGGGACCAGAGTGAGTGAGCAGAAACTTCTCCATTGAGCATTTCTGTGGAGGTCTATCAGTTTCAGTGTGAGAATGTTAAGCGAGTTGCCGCCAGCTTAAATCCGCTGATTCTAAAATTTTACCAGATCATGCCCTTAATTAGTGTTTGTAAGAAACCATATTGTGTGTGCAGTTTTGAAGTTTGGGTATTAGAGCTCAGAGAGAAAGCTCACTGAACTGTTCAAAAAGCATTGTCAGCTCTCTCATTAGTTCACCGAAGCATATCCAGCCACTCCAGAAAGTCCGATAGCTTCTTCTTGGATTCATATATGGGTCTGATCCTGGCTGTTTCCTCACTAGGGATTTATATCAACTTACAGTATCATCCAGCTGTTGCTGTGGTGCTATCAAGTCTGCCTTTACTAGTGATTGACAAAGTGGCCCCTATTGGGAAAAAAACCCACTGAACCTATTATTTACTGCATATATTATAGCAGTGTTTCTCTACCTCAGCAACACTAAGATGTGTGGACTTCAGCTCCCAGAATTCCCCAGCCAGCATGCTTGGCTAGGGAATTCTGGGAGTTGAAGTCCACACATCTTAGAGTTGCTAAAGTTGAGAAACACTGTATTATAGTGATGTTTTTATTTATTTACTCAATTTATATAGCCACCCACCTCACTTTTACATGACTCTAGGTGGCTTACAATAAAACAAATAAAAA